TGACATTTTGTATCAAATTACATTGATGATTCCCGTTTTCACGCATGCGCGGTGCCATCGCTTGAATATGTAATAACTTGTCATATCATGTTGAATGCTCATGAAAAATCTGGTCACGTGACATATCATATCAAATCGCATTGGCTGCGTTCAGCAGAACGTTTGTTTTGCAACTGTTGGAAGTTTCCTTCGCGCTAATTGGATCATACTTTTAGATCTAGAAGAATGGTCCTATCTCAGCAGACAATCATAAAACGGTTGCAAAACTGTTGAGTCTGCTGAACGCAGCCATTGATGACATCCTCGTGAAACATGTTGTGACATGTGACTTGTTGCGGCATGTCCTTGAAAAAAATCTTTGATTACGCTAAATCTAATAAAGCCGTCGACGCTTGCGAAATTGTAAACATCACATTTTTGTTGTATTAAATTACATTGATGTGATCGCGAAACGCTTCAAATATCAAATACGATGCGACGACCATCTGGCGTAAGATTTATTATAAAAATTCAAATATTGAATGTGAATTATTAATTACAGTATGGATGCTAATATATAGTATATGAATATATAATATATGAAAAATAAACGAATATTTAAAATGTATGTCTCAGCGTTTGAAATTATTCATTCCTTCTGTCTTCACGATATTTATTCATTCTTTTCCTTCTTATCTTCTTTGTAGTATCACATTACGTGCGCCGGTACTATCATCGCGATCGATGATATCATCGTGTCTGACAATATCGTTGCGCTCGCTTTAAAAGCATTATCAGAATATAATCGCATAAGTACAATAGAAAAAAAATATATATATTTTTTGAGTATGAGAATAAGTATAATAAAAGAAGTCACATAGAACGCTGCAATAAGAGAATAGATAGTAAGTATAGCATGCACATGAATCGCAACGTGTGGTATAACGTATCGAGAGAAAAATGGTAAGTATATGACAAGTATATGAGATAGAGCGCACGGAGGCCCGCAACACATTTTGGGGTAGCCCGCGGTGATAGCGCTGCTCAATATCTCAATGAGTATAACGGTAACATTTGATAGCCGGATGCTCTATGCATAACAAAGACAACTGCCTCAGAACTTATAATATTATATCGATCTTCTCGCGGCGACACTTTTGATTTACTTTGTTTTATATACATCGACTACCATAGATAAATCCCAGGCAGTCTCGTTACAGCGAAGAATGCTTTTCAGCTTCAGTCTTGTCCACGTCTTGTCCGCGAGTGGATTACGTTTTTTGATTGTGCAAAAAAAAATGTTTTTACGCGAGCCTCCAGAAAGGGAGGAGTTCTACGTGTATGAGGGAGAAGAGGAGGTGGTGGTGGTAGCCTTTCCTCCTTTGAACAATAATAATGAAGAAGAGGTGGAAAGGTTGCCGTTTCCTCCTTCGGACGACAATCAACAAGAAGAGGAGGATGAAAAGGATCCAAATCTTTCCCCTCCCCCCGAAATAAATCGGAATGAGATCGAGCCCGATGACCTCGTCCCATTCATGATGCGCCTCATCAGTTACTTCCAAGAGGCACATCCTGAATGGGAAGATGTTGAATAAAAATCGGGGGGGGGAGAGGGGCTGCTGAGGATGGTGAAGGTGTCTACTACGGAAGAGGTAGCGGGAGTATCAGGTAAGCATTTTACATTTTTGCTTCTTTTCCCTCAACCTATCCCCCCCCCCAGTTCCTTTCGCGACCGCGACGCCAGCGCCTGCCAGCGCCGCCTGGAGGCGACCAGGCGGCTGTATCCGTGGTCCAGAACCACCCCCCGTTATACTATTGACGTTCGAAGATAAGCTTATTCTCGCATGAGGATAAGCTCATCCACGCACCGCGGCGGAATCAGCTGTTCTTTGGCCGCGGTGCTCCCACAGGCTAGCCTACGCGGGGATACGCTGGCGCGAGCGTGCGCCCGCCGCGTGGTGCTCTCCGCCACGTTGATCAGCTTATCTTCTTAAATCTCTTCCTTCGTGTATTTTTGAAAATATTGATAAGCGCCATTTTTTTTCTTTTTTTTTGTTTTTGAAGTACACGGTGATCGCGCGTTCATTTCGCAAAATGGACGTACGCTGGAAACATTCATGGACTTCGTATGCGGTCCGACTGGATGTAGGAAAAAAGATTTTTGTAAAGACTTTTCTCCGATATTTAATCCCCATGTCCGACGTACATTTCGAGAAGGTTTTGTTTTATTATGCAGAATGGCAAGAAGTCTATCGTCAATTACAATACGACACTCGTGAAAAAGAGCTCGAAGAACAGAGTTGGGGATTTAGCAATACTAAAGAGGCGAAGAAGAATAGAATTGAATTTCGCGAAGGTTTACCCCGTTCGGAAGATTACTCGAACGATCCGCTTTCTCCGAAATTAGTAATAATCGACGATCTTATGAGAGAATCGTCGTCGTGCGACGCGATCGTGGATCTTTTCACCAAAGGCATTCATCACAAGAATCTCGGTGTTATTCTTATCTCACAGAATCTTTTCCATCAGGGGCGTGGTCAGCGCGATATATCTCTCAACGCGAATTACATCGTCGTTTTCAACGACGAGCACCCGTATACTTACAAACGGACAAAGGTTGAAACAACCTAACTCCCGTTGCTTGTACGTAGTTTGTCGGTTATTGCGGTCGGAAACGCGAGAGGTTCGTATCGGAGAAGGAAGGCACTTACAATAATATTACGCGTGCAGGTAATTCCGCAGTGAACATTTATTTAAACAAATAGTAACGGACATGTACAAAATACGTATAATTAGGCAATTGTAAAAGAGTAAATCATTAACGCTACATATATTAACACAAAACGATATATAATACACGCGGCTGGACTTTAAACGCTACACAGAAATTAACGCAAAACGGTATATGATACACGCGGCTGGACAATACACGAAATGCAATAATAGCGCGAATCGGACTAGAATACAGGCGGTCGGAATATGGATGCAGCGTGCGGATAGCGCGCACTCGGCGGATCTCGGGTCCGTGCGGTGGCGCGCCCTAGTTTG